TGTGCACTCAGTACCATGGTAGCTGATTCGCATTCAGTTTGGAGAACGGACATAGCAGAAAGCGATTGTTACTTCCTCTCTAAAAGCAAAGAGAATAATGCTCAGGCCCCCTGCCTCGCATAAGAGAGAGAGGGAATGCAGAGCAGACTTGAAGTTCAGTCTGTTTGGCTCTAAATCCTGTTAATCATTCCAAGTGCGGATATTTTATTTATGAACGGTTTTCCAAATGTCTGAGGCATTCCGTCTCCTTCTACGGGAGATATTAAAAAAACACTAATTTCATATTCAGAACTCTTCTATCAAGGAGTTTACAATGTCCAGGTTGGCTGTAAAGACTATATTCAAATTGAAAGAGGAAATCGATGTCTTATAGCCAGATCCAATTGTGCATCTCAGGACTACGTGAGCACAAGAAATAAATGACTGGCGCCACTAGTGAGGGACCCGGGCATATTTAAAATATTTAAACTGGCAGAAAAAGAAAGCTATATTTGAATGATTATTGGACTTAGGACTTAAGATTGAGTTGTAGCTCAAACCTTCACCTCACAGTTAATTTAAGTCACTCTGTGTATTTTTGCTGTGGGAGAATGATGTCCACTTTACTGAATTTCGTCAGGATTGAATGGGAAAGTACACAGGAAATCAAACAGCAAATTCATAATCACAATGCAAAAAGCATTATCACTAGTAGGGAAATCTGTGTTTTCTTCGAATGACAAATCTGTCATTTTTAAAGTAATAAAATCATTAAAATGAAGAAGTTCAAATCATAGATATCAAAAAGAAAGCATTAAAATGTTTGCTCTTCAATTTTAAAAGTTTCCTTTGCATTTTATGGTTTGTCAGCCTTCAAAATCTTTGTTTAGCTCCCTGATGTTCAAGAGAGAGCCACATTCCAATACAATTTCTAGAGTCTTAGAGCAAAGTAAAATTTTACATTTCTGTGTAAAGAAATGTAAAAACAAACAAGAAAAAGACATATTTCCAGAATACAGAATGTTTAGAATATCTATAAGTGTTGTACAAATAAGATCCATTTCAAATTGTTACATCCAAGAATTCTAAGGTTGAACTAAAATTTAAGGAAAAGGTATCACATTAAAAGAAGCAACTGACTATGCTCTGCGTTCTTACATTTTAAAGAATAAGTTTGTTTTTTAGCTTCAGCTATTTGCAGCACCTTCACGTCAAGCAGACTTAGTTCCCACAGTAATTTCCACATCGCAGGGGCTCGGAAGGCTAAGTTGCTGGCCCAATGCGCCTGAGCGCACGCAGTACACCGGGCGCCTGCCCGTCGCGTCTGTGGTCTTTCCTAAACAATCTGCTGCTCTGTGTGACGACTTCTCCCCAACGCAGTCACTACTGCCCTGCAGGTAACTGCGTGACTGGAAGTCGTGAGGCCGATCCCGCGCTGGCGGCTTTGAGCAGGGTCTCCTTGCTCTCCAAATCGTCCCATTCGGCAAGGTTGTCGATATTCCTGACTTTAAAAAGTAGCAGGTTCAAATGATCTAACAGATGGGAATCTGCTGTGCGTCTGTCCCAGCGGTCCAAGTCCATGCGTGACACAGTTTACAGAAGACATTCCTTATTGGAGTGGCGAGGACTGTGGGAAGGGGCCAAGGCCCGGCTTCCGAGCAGACGCTTCCCACAGGGGCCCTGGGTGCAGCAAGGCTCCGGATGCTGGGTTGGTAGCAACCTCTTCTGCTCAGGGCTGCGTACAGCTAAAGCTGGACTTCGCGTTCCTGGCGTCAGACACGGTGCCTTCTGCTGGCCTGAGGCTGGATGCATCGCACGGTGCCCTCCCTTCTGCTCAGAGGAGAGCTGAAGCCTGATTTCCTCTCCTCGAAAGACGGTCTGCTGATGAAAACAAATGTCCGTCAGATCACGCAGTTTGGGAGGCGCATTCCTTCTCAGAACATTTACAGCTGGAGAAATATCATCCGCAACCGCCCTTCAAGTCACGGGTTTGGGCACGTGTCAGGTCTGCCACAGCCCACGTTAACGAGAGAAGATCTTTAGATAGAAGAACCTCAGTAAAATTCTAGAAAAGTGAAAATAAATGAGCACAGGAAAGGGTAAATACTTGGGTAGATTTAAGTTAAACAAGGATAACATTTTTAATGATGGAACAAATGCACAGAATTAAAGTTTTGGTCAAAAAGTCGGGGAGGGATAAAAAAAGTTAAAAGTTCTAGAGTATACCTTTCTTGAGAAGTGGCACAAATAACAACAAGTGTGTTATACTGTGATAATTGTCTAACAAAATATTAAAATATTGATGTCTACAGCATAAGGAATTAGGAATAAGGAGAAAAAGCCATGATAAACAGCCCATCTATTCAAAAGAAGGTGCAGAGATAAGAAAACAACAGCCAGTTCAAACTCAGACTTGTCAGTAACTACACTGATTGTAAATGTAGTAGCTACAATTAGGTCACAGACAATGCCCTGAAAATTGTATTCTATTTTCCGTAAGAGTCTCAGACTCTGATAATGTAAGAGAAGTATAAAAAATAAATTTAAAACTACAAAAACACAGATCAGATGAGAAAGTATTTTGCTACACAAATATTGGCAAAAGAAACCAAGTGTAGCTGAACTACTTATTATCAGAACAAGTAGACCATATGCCATACTAGACTTAACCTTTAAAAGAAGCAACATCCAATATGAATAGGAAATGATTATAAATTAGCAATATGGGAAAATTAATAGAACAGATAATACCCTGGGGGAGACTGATCAAATCAAAGGAAAATATGGTAAATGTAAGAGTTAGGGGTTTAGCTCAGTGGGTGAGCTCTTGCCTGCTATTTCTGAGCGCCTCAGTTCCATCCCAAACACCACCCTGACCACATACACACAATAAATAAATAAATAATAAATGGGAGAAGCCTCAAAAGACCAGTCGCAAGGATTTACATAACTTCAGATCCCACAAATGTTAAAAATATATTGAAAATATATACTCAAAATATATAGTACAGAAAAGATTGAGAGGATATCCGCTTTTAAATGAAACAGAAGAGGGAAAGTTCCTTCTAAAAGACAACCTTTCGGGCCGGGGATTCACTCAGTGGTGCCGCTTCCTGCCTCACAAGCGCAAGTTTGTGATCCAGAGTTTGATCCCCAGTACCAAAAAAATAAATAAATAAAAAGAAAAGAAAAGAAAACCTTTCATGTCTGACTCGAGACAGGCCAAAATCCAAAGTGAACAAACAGAAACATGGGTAGTTCCTTAACTATTAAAATAATTAAATTACTAAGACTTTTCAAATTAAGAAAATGCCCCTACCTAGGTGTTTGTTTTTCCCAGTTCATTTTATCAAACACGTAAAGAAGAAATGAAATATTTGTAAAACTCTTTCCCAAAATAAGAACAGTGATTCTTCCCAATGACTATCGGGAATAAAATTGCAAGCTTATAGCTCTGGGGACCCAAGCAGGGGGCACAGGGAGCTTCACTTTTCTGCTGTTCAAACCTCTTGAGCAGCGCTCAGGCCCAGCCGGGTACACAGACCTCCTGTCCTTCTCATAAGCTGCCTTCTCCTTTTCTTTAGTACAGCCAGCGCCTCCTTTGAAGAGCAGCCCATCTTTCACCATTCTGGGTCTTAGCCTGTTGCTCGAAACTGTGTTTGTACTTTTTCAAACATTTGATCCTTTTTCTATATCTGTTTATCTTTCCCTATGAATCGTCTTTCCGCGACTGGAATCTGCCTTCTAAAATGCACTCTGCTTTCAGTTTCTTATGAGACTGAGGGTCCCAGTTAACCTTCGAGCGTGGCCACGTCAGCTTCTTTTGGTCAAAGATTGTTTTGTTTTGTTTTGTTTTTTAATGCCTAGTCCAAACCAATAGCGATAATCTTGCACAGACTATTTTGTTTATTGTTCATGCTTTTGGAATGACACTCATTCCTCTACTCCAGCTAGGGTTTATAGAGTCATGTGAATCGGAGATCTGTTTACTTCTTTAAATAATCACAAGACATAACTTTTGTTCAGAATAATTTTTATAACAGCAATTTACTTACACGCTTTATAGAAGAATATATATTAATTTCTCAATACTGGGCCAGGATCATAAAAATAGGCTAAAATTGCCATTTTTCTATCTAATACCATATCTAATATTATAGTCATAATAAAATTCCCAATCAGGAACTGCCTTCTTTCTCACTGAGAAGAAAAACATTTCTTCCCAAGATCCTACCCAGCTATTTCAACAGCTAAGCTAAGATCTAATGCAGTCAGTAAATACTCACTTCAATGAAAAAAATGCAGTAACGAATAAATCATGGATTAACACTGACCATCAAAAAACTGGTTTGAACCTCAGCTGGTTTAACTTTGTAAACTGAGGGAGAGCTTTCACTGAATTACTATTTCATAAGCTGTCAGTTGGTTTCACCTCCAGCTCATTAGTTAATTCATGAACTAAGAGACAGAAGATTAACAAAGGTCAGGTCCCACACTGAATTTCTGAAAGCGATAAATGCAGCCTCTGCCTTACTACTCAGAGGGTACAGGTCTTTTACTTCTCAAACATACCATGAGCCCAGCCTCGCTAATCCCTCCCTGTCCCACATGATGCTCTCCTATTGATCATCTGTTCCTACACTGAAATCTAACCTTTTGTGTTTCTCTAGCAGTAGATTTTATCTAACCATCACAAAACAAAACGAAAACCCAAAACTACATTACATCTTCCCTACCACAGTCATCTTTGTAAAAGCAGCAGGAATGAATTCTCACAACCCTGAGCCAGGAAATAGCATTTGGGATTAACTTCCTCCCAGCTAACTCCTCAGATGGGCTGCCCCTTGGGTGGGGGATGGGTGGGGGGGTTCCAATTCCCCGGCAGGCCCTGGCCCCACCCAGCGGATCTCTCAAGTATACAAAAACGTGCCTGAGAGCTTCCGGTAGCCGATGACTAAAAGGTTCCCTTTGCATCCCTGCCTGAGTGTTCACTTAGCCCTTTTTGTTTCCACTGCAGCTTCTCTGAGATAGGATAAGTGCTGCTATCATTTACAGGCACGAGATAGCCTCAAGAAAAGCAATTCTAAACTCCATCCTTGATGTTGCTTGCGTAAGAAAGGCTTGGAAACAGAAAATTTAGGACCTTAGTTCCTTTGGATTTCCAAGTGAAAACAGCTATGGAAAAGCCTGGAGTGACTACTGATTATAATACAGTAGCTTGTTTCCCTCCCTACGATTATTTGAAAATTCAGTAGTGTGAACTTTTCTTTACATGGTTGCTGGAAAGTTTTACAATGTCAGCTGTGACGTTTGAACTGGATACTCTGTCTTCCGAAGGCGAAAGCTTCAGACAGGAGCAGGCTTCCAGTTCTGACTTGACTTTAACCTGTCTGACTGACCTCTCCAGGACTTCTTGTCAACCGGAACTTCAGCACTCCGTGTCTGTCCCCACTGGTGAGCTAACCCGCAGATGGTCATGTTTGAATATATTAAACTACATTAATGCTGCTTTAATGTCAGAAAAAAGGTTGATGTCATCTATTTGGTTGTGGCATAGGCGATGCCAATTTTACTTGCTGTTTTTTTTTAATTAAAAATGTATAAATAGAGTTTGCAAAAAGAAAAGAGGTTCAAGACATTCACTCATAGAGTGAAATGTCACAAGTCAAATTCAGTGAAGTCAAAACAATGTTAAAAACGAAGTAGACTTTTTTCCTCTGGATTCTCAGCCCTAACAAGGCTTAAGTTATGTTGGTGTGACTGATGCCATCAGAGATACCCCATGAATGCCATCTTTCTCTCGTGTCTTTTATCTCTCAACTCTTCATATAATTATATAAGGGATAATACATGCATTTGCATTTTCCTTCAGAGTAGGAAAACATCACTTTGGGTTTTTAATTTTATGATATGATTTAATTCTCTATGAACTCACAGTGTTGGTAGAATTCAATATGAATAATTTTCTAATTCTTACAAGAGTTACTTATTCTAATCTCACTGTTTTCATCCTTGCCATGAAATTTGTATTCATCAAAACATGGCTGAGTTTGGTTTATCACAAACCACTCTGAGATGTCCAGGATTTAATTGCGTTATGAAGAAAGGCTTGATATAATGAATTGGTAGTATTTTAAATATTGTAAAGTAAATCTCCTTCCAACTTACTTACCTTTCCTCATAAAAACACATTGAGTAAATGCCAGAATTAAGCCAAATCTCTGATCCTCACAGCCAGAGGAGTCTCCTGAGAATTAATTTCACCCCTCTGCTTTACTGCAAATTATTTCTAAAGAATTTTATGCCATCCCAAGCAATCTCTGATTTGTGTTCATAGATGTTCTTTTGTTATGAGTTGTTTACAGGGAGGCTGTTCTATAATCTGGAGATAAGATATACTTCCGTGAACTTTCTCTCCACTGGAAGAAAAGAGATCTCTATGTTGTCATCTTGTTCTTAAATTGAAGCTCTTGCTAAGAATTGAATCTATAATTTCCCAGAATTTGGAAAAATCTGTCCTTTAGAAATGCCTATAATGTTATAAAGGAGAACTTGGCAGAAAAAAAAGAGGCTTGTAAACAAAGCACTTGACATTAAATGACAGCTTGAATATGTATGTTTGTTGTATTTTTCATCTGTTTGCTTTCTGAACACTTCTCTCAGAAGGAGCAGTTCTATTCCGGGAGATTTAAATCTTGCCCTTATGCAGTTCCCTCCCATCTGCTGAGAGATCCAGTCTTCTCCCCAGAACTGCATACTACAGAGGGTCCGGAACAGACTTCTGCTCCACTGTCCTGAAAGTGCCTCAGACTTACCCCACCTCTGCTGAGCTTCTAGGATACTCTTCATCTCTGCCTTCTAATTCTGTCCGTGACCCTTCCAGAGACCTTGCATATTCCTTAGCACTGACTGCAACTGAATCCATGTGTCCATTGGAAGGCATCATAGATCGATATTCATCTTCTCTACCCCGGCCACCTGATGACCTCAGTTTCCAGTGCGGTACCTAGTAATACAAAGGTTCTTGAAATAAAGTAAAAACCTAGGTATCTTGACTCAGAACTGCCTGCTGGAGGGGCTAGAAGACTGGCTTTCTTTCTTTTCCCCCATGAGGTCCTGATGCCCTCCTAGGTAACTTCACCTTCTCCAACTTTTCCTTAACAAGCCCCCTGCCCACTGGGGCAGAAAATCTTACCTGCAGCATGATCTGATGCAATTGATCTGTGTTCATCATTTCTACTCTTCTCGGTGACCTGGGCATTACATTACATGGTATCAGCTCATTTCTGCAAAGCTCATGTGGTTTATACATATTCTATAAGAGAAAATTATACCTTCTAATCACTCTTCATCTTATTTTTCAAGATAATTATACCAATCATCCTCTCTCCTCACATACAGTTATTAAGATTTCCCAGAGCTCTGGTCCTATCTTAGCAAATACCAATGATTACTTCTCTTGCAGAATTTTTCTTGTTTTGAAGCATCCACAAAGGGTTTATTTAATCTATTGAAATCTTATAACTAGGTATTTCCATGACACCTCTATGAGATACCTTTTTAGAATGTGTTATTCCCAATTTTTGTGGCTATTCACGCTATATAAGCAAAAGAAATGACTGGTTAAATTATCATCTAATCCATCACGGTGTATCTTTTTAATATTTTTTCTATGATAACATCTGTTTTAAAAGGTTATACATGTATTTGGTTAGGAAAAATACTCTGGAAATTGCTGCAAGATTTTCTACTCTATGACACCATTGTTCAGGGTAGAACATGGGTGGAAATTGCCCTTCATTTGTAATTTTTGAGAAGTGTTGAACATCAAGAATGCATCTTGTACACTAGAAACTTTTGCCCTGTTTCCAACAGACTCATGCTTTAATTGTTCAGTCCAAATATATTTATTGAATCCACAGGAATGGAAGTTAGTGGATGGGATGTCTATATGTAGTTGGAATTAGGATTATAACATGGACCAGGAGAAGGGCTCTGACCTTTCGATTTCAATGGCATGGCAGAATGATTGCATCGTGCCTGTGCACCCAGGCCTACCACTGCAGAAGACAGAGCGACAGCTGCATAGTATAGTGCACAGAAGGCTGAACAGGTGCATCTAAAGAGAAATGACTCATTCTTGGTGAGAGGATGCTCGCATCTTTAATTTGTACATGAAACGCACATAAACCAAAGGTAACGCTTCTCACACATTGTCTGTGAAGTTGCCCTTCCATCCTATGAGAAGCCGATTACTTCGGGAAAGTAATGTGATGAGAACACTCACACACACCGTGTGTGTGTGTGTGTGTGTGTGTGTGTGTGTGTGTGTGGCTGGGTACGTGTAATTTTATGTGTTAGGTAGCGGGGGAAAGTTCAGCTCTTAATCTGTGTTTTCATTTTAAATGCATTGTTCCTTCCCTGACAATACTTGGAAATTATGTTTGAAAACTGTCCCATGGAGAAAAACACTTCTTTGTATTCAGAAACAGATTTAATTGGTAATAAGAAATGGTAACACGATTGTCACCGCTGGATTCTCGAATGCGCTTACAGTGAGGTTGGAGGCTACACACGGTGCATCACGGTGACCACCTTGAGCTCCACATCCCCCATTCTGGTATTAATGAGAGGTACATAGCTAACATCTCTTGTATACCATATAATAATTTCACAGCTAATTTGTTCTCATCGTCAGATACAGAAGCACAGCAGATGAAATTTTCCTAGATGACACAGATAATAAGTGACGTAACTTCTTTCCGACATGGGCCATCCAGGTTATAGCTTAATCCTCCTACGTGCTGTGTCACCCATGTGATTGGACAATGAGGATAATGAGTGATTTGTGGTGAGGCAATGAGTCCTTTCCCTTTTGTGATCAGAGCTACTTGTTCCACAGAAGTGTGAAAATCGCTTTCTTATTTCTAATATGAAGAATGGAAAAACAAGTTATGTGTAAATAAATGCAAATGGTACTTATCATTCATTCCCAGGCACTTATACAACTATGTGCCTTTAACATCTTATAATAACCTATTATGCAAGCATTTATGGAAATTACACTCAACCTAACTGTGCCTTTAATTCACATAGTTTTCTGATGACTGGTTGTCGTTGAAGTTTAGAGGAAGCCAAATTAAGAAATGGATCATTTGCTTATGCTATGATCACTACAAAACAGCAGAAAGATAGAACTTCTTCTTGTCTGAAGAAGACGCCATGAAAATTTAAGAGATATTCTCTCCAGTTATTTTCCATGCCTACCTTTGCTGACTTACTCAGCAAGATTGACTTCCTATTTGGTGTTTCCACCTGTATTGACATTTTTGAGTATTAGCTTTCTTTCTTTCAATATCCTCAGGGAGCTGCTCTGATCAAGTATGTATTTCATGATTGTTCTCCTAGCCCTACATGAAGCTTTTGTTTCATGAGACATATCTTTAGAATGTTGGTGCAATTAGGAAATTAACACAAGAAAAATAATTTGTATTTTAAAAATATAAGCAGCCAAAGTTATCCCGATTATAAGAAGATAAGATGGTGACAATGAAATGAAATTACATGAAGGAGGCACATATTTAGACAAAACAAATATTACTTACTAAGTAATCACAAAACTTGACCAGAGAAGGAGTAAGAAAATTATTCTACTTCCAAAAGCGCAAAAACATTTGCTCCTCATTGATTTTTGTTTAAAAGACAATGTACCCCACTTCTGATCATGTCTTCTGGGATGAGAAGCAGCATTTCAGTCAATATATGGTCTGTTCATCATTTAACTGATAGCATAGTCTAAAAAATAACATATACCGTAATTTCTTTCTAGAGTTTCATGTTTAAGATGTAGGTAATTCAACTGTGTAAATGTCCGTTGCTTTCATGTAATCTAGAATTTTATAAAATTAAGCTCTAGAACTTGTTTGTTTTTGAAGAAATACATGATGCAATTAGGATGAAGGAGTTGGGGGATTTTATCTCTTTCCTGAGTTTCTCTCTTCATCTATGACACAAATCTTCAAGATTAATCTGGTGGATCTTGAAAGCCACTTGCATGCATGAGAAGGCATTAGTTAGATATAGAGCACTTCCCATCTGCAATATCAAGGTAAAAAGAAAAAGATAAAGAAATGAAAACCCCATTTCTAATGTACAAATAATAATGTTTGCAAAGAATTTGTAATCTACACAGCTTTTTTGTATATTTGATTTTTGCCACCACTATGTAGATCAAATTATTTTGTTTTGCCCATTTTACAAATGGGGAAAGTGCTCGTCTAAGAATAAAAATGAGATTTTTGTAAGTAAAAAGCCAGGGACTTAAATACATCCAGACTTTGTCCTCCTACCTACATCTTGCCTTTTACCACTTTACAGTGTGCTACAACAATAATGAAGCAAAGAAGAACAATGCTATCTATTGTAATATTTGAATTACTATACCAAATACTTGG